ACATAGCGAGACCCTATCTCTACAAATTTATTTTTTTTAACTAGCCAGGTACAGTGGCATGCACCTGTAGTCCCAGCTAGTTGGCAGGATTGAGACAGGAAGATTGCTTGAGCCCAGAAGGTTGAGGCTGCAGTGAGCTACGATTGCACCACTGCACTCCAGCCTGGGTGACAGAGCGATGCCTTGTCACTAAATAAAAACAAAACAAAAAACAAACAAACAAAAACTACCCTGTGCCAAAGGAAGTAAATCTGTGAGTACAAAATGGGGCACAGGCTTCATGAGCCAGAAATGCAGCCTTCCACCCGATTCAGTGAAAGTGTGTGAAATGCAAATATAAAGCAGTTAGAAGCGCAAAAGCCTGCCATTACCTGGACGGGGATGAATATGACATACACCGATATCCCGATGAGAGCTGTGGGCCCCAGAATGAAAAAGGCGTATGCCGCACAAAAGACCATTAGGATCGGGATGGTGGCTGGCAAGGGACAAAACAAGGCAGCTTCAAACAAGGAATAGCTATCACTTGACAGTATATTGAGCACCTGGAAAGAAAAGTGCAAGGGTTCAGGCTTTGGAAGAGTCAGTCAAACATGTCTTTAAATGAAGGCTTTCAGACTGGCCGAGGGGATCTAGGGAGAAAGGAGAAAAACTGCTCTAAAGCAGGAAGGGGTCACTGGGGACCAATATGATGAGTTTTATGGGTTCTGGTACCACTTTGGAGAGGCCGGTCTTGTAGGGCTGATCATCTCAATGCAGAAAGACAAAGTGTAATGTTACCATCTGGGAGCATGCTGGAGGGACTGCTAGCTGTCTACACAATCTCCCCCACCTCCTTCTACCTCCGCCTTCCTTGTGAAGACAATTCCACTTCTTCGGGGAAGAGATGGGCCCAGAAAAGACTACATTTCCCAGCCTTCTTTGTGGAATGAGTGTGGCCATGTGTCCATGTTGAGGAAAATGAGATGTAAGTCAAAGTGTAGAATGAGACATTTGTGATGAAATCTTAAAGGGAGTCACCTCAACCTGAAAGGCACCCCTTCTTCTGTTCCTCTTTCTCCTACCACCTGTCTGAAGCGTGGCTGGGATGGCTGGGTCTCTAGCATCTACTTTTGAACCATGGTGAGAGCCAGGTGCAAAGATAGTGATAAAGGCAGAGGATCTGGAAGCTCCTGTGGCAACCCTGCGTTATTCCCTTCTAGATTCCTTTAACATAGAGTGAAATTAATTCCTTTTGTTTAATCCACTGTTATTTTCGTTTTGCTGTATGCAACTGAATCTAATCATAATTAGATGCTTTGAGCTTGCTAAAAGAGCAACTGTAAGAAAGAAGCAAGTCTCTTATCTTACCCCACACCACCTGGGGTTCCCTTGATTAGGGAGTTTTTGTTGTTGTTGTTTGTGTGTGTTTTGTTTGTTTGTTTGTTGTTTTTGATAAGTGTTAAGGATTTTATTGCCAAGGATTAAGAGCTCAAGAAAATGTCAGCTCTGAAGTCCAACAGGCATGGTCTTCATTGTGGCTTTGGCACTCCCTGTGCTACACAATTGGGATTATTGGAGCCATCAGTCAATCCATTGTATTAAACGCCTATAGTGTGCTCAGTACTGCTCCACTGTCCCCATAGACCATCAAAGCAACTGGATTAAGTCTCCCTGAGCCCTGTTCCCACTGGAACTAGGAAGTCTCTCCAAATTCTCCAGCCTGAACCGAGCCCTCCTGTCTCGGAACTCCTCTGGTGTTTTGCATCTCCACCCCTCACTTAGCCAGGAGATGGGACATGAAGGGGAGGTCACAGACAAGCAAAACGAAGGCAGGTGCTCCATCCAGGACCCACATCTCACATGCACTCAAACTACTCGGGACTCATTTTCCAACATTAAACTCCTCTGAGCCAGCTTACCTCGCCAACAGAGATGTGCGTCAATGTCTTGAAGGACACCAGGTTTTCAAAAACCAAGGTGGAGAGCGCCACCTTCAACCGGATGGCCGTGCGGTAGTTGATGGCCCAGGCAAGGGCCCAGGAGAAGACTTTGGTAAACTCGGTGACAAAAAGGGCTATGCAAAGGCCGATGCCAACCCAGACATTCCCAGAGGTGCTCTCGGTCTGCTGGAGGATTTGGTGAATGAGAACTGTCTGTAAAACAGCATGGTGGGGAGAAGAGAGGGCCACTGAGGACTGAGGCTGGCATACGAGGCCTCAGATCATGCCAGCAAGCTGACTTTAGGAGGCAAACTTTTTAATTAATTTTGGTGGCTGCTGCTGTGCTTGACAAGGATTCACTTTATGAAAATTCGCCCCCAAGGAGCACACAGATAATGACAATGCACTAAACCCACCAGCTCGTAGAGGAAGTAACTAATGGCATTCTTTGCTAGGCTGGGGACCTAGCAGATGAGGAGGAAGGGCCGCCCCACTCACCGGCCCTATGGCTGCCATGATGATGCACAGTATGTTGGCCACGATGTCCATCAACACGCGCGTCCTCTGGAATTTCCAGACCACGCGGCTCAGAGAGGCCTTCTCAGGACCCACCCTTTCTACCTCTTCATCCCAAAGGACTCGAAATCTGTGATAAAAAAATGGAAGCTTAAAATGGATTGGCACTTCTATGTGCTGTTTGAAGCTATGCTGTTGGGCACGTTCTTGCAAGGGTGCTCAGCACAGCCCACCTCCCTGGCGATGGTACCTTCCAGCACCGGCTCAGCTTTCTGCTTTTCCTGAGCAGGTGGGATTTGGGAAGGGCAGGGGTCAATGCCTAGACACAAGCTGGTATGTCTGTGGCATCTGGGTCCTTGCCAGGCCTTCTTTTCCTCTGCCTACCACCCATCTCTGCCACAGTGTCAGCTCTTATAAGAAGGCAGAGGCAACAGACAGGCCAAGAGAAAAGTCTTCTCAGTGCAGCGAGGACGTTGTTAATTTCAAAGATCTGGAAGAAGGCCAGAGAGACAGGAGTGTGGTGCACAAAGGGGAGGGGCTGATGGGACAGTGGGAAGCAAGGCAGGAACTTTTGGGACCTTGGGGGACTTCACAAGAAGGGAAAACCTCAAGGGCCTTCAGGAGTTTAGGTTTCACTCCAAGTGCAAAGGAAGCCATTACAGATTTTTAAGCTGATGTGACAAGATCATTTTGCACATCTAAAAGATCAATTGGCTGCTATGAAAGTGATGGATGATGGTGTGAGACCGCAGCAGGAGACTGTCAGCCTCCAGGTGAGAGGTGGCAGTGGAATTAAAGAAAAGTGGACAGAGAGCGACAACAGGTCTTACTGATGAATGAGATGTGGGAGGAAAGGAGAAAGAGGTTCAAGGATGGACCCCAGTTTTCGGGCTTGGCCAACTGTGTGAATATTTATAGAGACAGAGATGGGGAAAAGCAGAAGAGGAGAGGAATAGTGTCAGTTTGGGGCCCTGGATCAAGAATAAGTCCAGCTTTAGATAGAAGATGCTCATGAGGCATCCAAATGCAGCGGTCCAATTAGATGCTGGCCACACAGTTTCAGAATCTGGAAGTGGGGTGTGGCCTGGAGATAGACACGGACACGTTATTGGGGGAGTCAGTGTGTGTTTGGTGTTTAAGCCTTTGGAGTGGAGGGGATCACCTAGGAGCATAACACGGCATGGGAGAGACAAGGATCTAAGTGGACACTGGGTAGATGGGAGGAAACATTAAGAACAGATGGAGAAGTACTGGCCAGAGAGGACGGAGGAGAGCCGGCACTCCACAGATGCTGGTCCAGTCCCTTGCCCTCAGAGCTCCCTGGCAACTTTCTCCAGGAGGTAGATTTTTGAATGTACCACTAGCTGAGATTTCTTCGGGGCACAAATGAGGAGAAGCACAATTCTAGAAGCAATTAGGAGGCCATGACTAACACTCCCAGGCCTTCCCCATTCTTCATATTATATATGTAATCAGAACCACAGAGTTCAATGCAGCTGCTGGAACAAATGAAGTTGATGTCTTTGTCCTAACACGGAAAAGCCTTTATAAATTCTTAACTGAAAAGAGCAACATGATCAACAGTTATGTAGCATGCTTCATTTTTTGTTTAGATTAAAATAAAACATGACCTGTGAGGTAAGAAGAGGTACTGATCTGAAGAAGACGGTAGCCCAGGGTGTGTTTAATCAGAGTAGGAAAATTCTGGACAGAGCCACACTGACATTTTCACAGTGCTTTGCCTCCAGGGAGTAGAGCAGGAGCATGGGAGAGATCCTTTCACGGCTTAAACTTCTGCTGCTTTCACATTTTTATAATGAATATGAATTAGGTTGGACAAATGACATTTACATTTTTACAAGTTAAAATTGTCAAATATTGGCAGTTTCATTAGGATCAACCTAAATATATTTTGTAATATAAAAGTCCAGTAATGATGTTTAAAGTAAAACAAAACCTGACACCTTAAGCTGCATGCTGGTCAGGTGGGGTCTGACCAGCACAGGGCAAAGTGAGATTCCAGCCACCTCTGTCTTGATACAGTGCCCCTGCAAACCAGCTGGAGCTCAGACAGAAGGGTCCTGAGCCTCAGGCCATAGCTCTCCAGTGAGTCCTCTCTCCCTGCTAATGCTGCCTAATTCCCACCTCCCCACAGCTTGGGCCAAGAAGTTTATGCAGTCCAGCCTGAATCTCAGAGAATGGTTACCCTCACTCATGGGTGTCATTTTCCATGTTGGGGAAATTGTGAAGCATACAACTAGGGAGTACACAAAAGAGTTTATGGGACCCTTTCCTTAGAGTGGGCTTCTGTCCTGAGGTGACTGATACAGTTTGGCTGTGTCCCCACCCAAATCTCATCTTGAATTGTAGCTCCCATAATCTCCACCTGTCATGGGAGGGACCCGGTGGGAGGTAACTGAATCATGGGGGCAGATTTTCCTGTGCTGTTCGTGTGGTAGTAAGTCTCATGAGATCTGATGGTTTTACAAAGGACAATTCCTCTGCACACACTCTCTTGCCTGCCACCATGTAAGACGTGCCTTTTACTCCTCCTTCGCCTTCCACCATGGTTGTGAGGCCTCCCCAGTTACATGGAACTTTGAGTCCTTTAAACCTCTTTTTCTTTATAAATTACCCACTCTCGGGTATTTCTTCATAGCAGTATGAAAATGGACTGATACAGTGACCCAAGCAAATCCTGCTACCTTTTGGCATTGGTGTCGGATGAGTCATATGGCGACAATGGGGGCAGGGTGTCCACGGTCAGCCTTTGCCGGTAGCCTTTCACCATCACCGGTGTGAGCCAGGAAAATGTGGCGAAGGAGAGCAGCCCCGCATCATCCACCGGGTTGGGTGCCAACCTGCAGACAAACGAGATGCTCAGTGTTCTGGGCATTGGGGTCATTGCCCCAGCTCTCTCTCTGGATTGAACTTGTAACTACAGTAACAGCCACAGCTGCACTAAGAAGCTGTGACTTGCATTCATTATGTTCACTAGCCCTTTTAGCCGTGATGTGCTAGGGCCAGCTAGTGAGAGCCAATTGTTAAATTTTCAGGAATTTTTCAAGTTAGTTGTTAAACACAGTCAATATTCAAAATTAAGTTACATAAGTTTTAATAAATTGTCTTAAAGACAAAGGTAATAATACTCAAAACTCATCGCTTCCTTTTTTTTGTTCCTCTTCCTTCTTCATTTCTTCTTCCCTTCCTCCTTTTCCTTCTTTTTTCCCCTCCCCTTCCTTCTTCTCTTCCTTTTCTTCCTCCTCCTCTTCCTCCTCCTCCTGCCCAGATTTTCGGGGCATTAATACTCCCAGGGGCAAAACTTCACTAGGGGAGTATAGAAGTCCACCTCACATCCTCTGGGTGGAAAACTGGACACTTTCTAGAAGGACCTAGTAGTATCCAGGCCCCTCTGATCACAGCAGTGACACTGAGGCCACACCTCATGTTACCTTTTCCTCCTTCCGTGCATCACTCTCCCTAAATCTTTCTCCTTGCTCCTTGGAATCACTTCTCAAATAAGCTATTTGCCTCCAAGTTCTTGACTGAGGCCCTGCTTTTGGGAGAATTCAAGCTAAAATCATGTGAATAAGGTACTATGTGCTCAGCACATAGTAAAAATTCCCTGAAAGGTGACTTTCATGATACAGTCATGCATTACTTCATATATTTCTCACAACAACTCAGTAAGATGGGTGGGCAGGGTAGTATTATATGCCCATTTCATAGACAAAAACATCGAGGCACAGAGAGTTTAGAGTATTTGCCCAAGGTCTTACTGCTGGAAAGTGGTGGGACAGGAGTTCAAACCCACTGCTTATTGACTCCAGAATCCTATCATTCCCTTCAGCACCTCCCCACATTGCCTCTCCACAAAGCGATTATAAACTGGTTGAAAAAGTGGACAGTTAGAGATCTCCTGGGGCTAGGAATAATAGCCCATGTCCTCCCCTTCCAACCTCCACTTGTCACCTTGGAGGGTTCAAATGTGTGTGTCCTTGGCCCAGACAGAGATGCTGGGTGAAGGTAGCACAGTGTCCACTTATTATAGAGATGCCACTTGGCTGTCTGTTGCTCAGAGAACAAACTACAGAGCCTCATTCCATGTAGAAAAGGCAGCATTTCATAAAGTTATTGTTAGCATAATGCTAATAATATATACAATAATACAATATGCTGCAAGGTTGAGCATGGGAGCTCAGAAATCAGACTACCTGAGTTTCTATCCTGGATTACAAAAATGACCCCATTTTCTCTCCCCATCTGTTCCCAATCCCTTGGAATGTGACCTGGCAGCTCATTCCATCAATTAGTCGAGTCTGTTTCCTCACACTTTGAATCTGAGCTGGCTTGTGATCTGCTTTGGCCAATAAAATGCAGTGAAAAAAGTGGTGTGCCAGTTGCAAACCTGAATCTCAAGAAGCCCTGCGTGCTGCCACTCATTCCCTTGGAAGCCCGCCGCATTACTGCGTGACTGAGCCTGGGCTAGCCTGCTGGAGGTTGAGCACACATGGGGTCCAGTTGCCCCACTGCCCCAGCCAACAGCCGGCCCACCCCCAGCAGCACAGCCACCTTGCTGTACAGGAGTAAGTCTGCTCAAGACCAAATGAACCACCCAGCTGAGCTCAGCCCACGTTGCTTTATTTTATGGGTCACCCATCAAGCTGTAAGCTAAATAAGTGGCAATTGTTTTAAGCTGCTAAGTGTTGAGACAGTTTGTTACAAAGCAAAAACTACCTGGCAAACCTTAGGCAAGTTACTTAACCTCTCTGTACCTGTTTCCTCACCTATCAGATAAAGATAGTAACAGTACCTCCAGGGTGGTTGTGAAGAGTAAACGAGAAGATATTTGTAAAGCACTTGGACAGGTCCTAGATCATGAAAAGCTCTCCTTAAACCTGAGCTACTGCCTCCTTTTCACCAAAGGGCAGCAGGAGGCAAGGAAGTGAGTGGTTGATAAATGAATGAATGCGTGCATGGGTGGATGGACAAAAGGACCAGCAGATAGAGCAGCAGATGGGTTGCAGTAGCAGTGCCCACTCTCCTGATGGACATTCCTGGAGGTCCTGCCCTAGCCCTCCCTTCCATCTTTCTTCTGACTTACCTTGCACAGGGTCGCACTGGGATCATGGTCTTCAGGCTGGGGTCATATCTCTCTGCAAAGGATCTCCGCCGGCCTCGCTGGCCCAGATCTGAGATAAAGTAGGGTCCTTCACCCACCATCCTGATGGCAGCCTGGAGCCCTGGGGTTTTGGCCTGGGGATACTTTCACTCTATGGCAGAGAAATGGCAAAGGTTATTGAGAGGTGAAGATGTCTAATTGGGATCAGGCAGCCCCTACTCTACCCAGATCAGTTCCTTTGCTTTGACCCCTGAGAACTGTTTTCACCAATGAGCTTTCCACATTTGTAGGGGAGTGTAGCCAGAAGACCTGCTACGTCCCTTAACACTACGCTGAGGCTTTCTTATTAGTAGGACCGTTTGGTTCCTCTTTTCTCATGTTGGGTTGGCCGAGAGCAGAAAACCCT